TAAAACATACACATAATTGTATAAAATAATGCAAACATTTTTTTTTATTTTTTAGATGATTCAGATTTGAATCTAGTTATCAATAAAAATGGATTTCTGTCAGCTACACCTATGCACGATAGTGATCTCTGTGATATGTGGGCTGGTGCAAGAGCATCTCATGGTGTCTTACATGGAAAAGTCTATTACGAAATCAGAATTACACAACATTCTATTGTTACAAAAGATGAAAAACATTCGCACATACTTAGAGTCGGTTGGTCAGTACCCTCCACATCTATGCAACTTGGCGAGGAAAAGTTAAGTTATGCATATACAAGTGCTGGACAGCAAGGTACCGACATGAAATTTACAGACTATGGATTTCCATTTGGCAAGGACGATGTAGTAGGATGCTACCTTGACATGACTCCAGAGAATACTGTAGAAATGTTTTACACAGTAAATGGCAAAAATATTGGATCGGCGTTTAATATTTCCAAAGAGGAACTCGGTGACAGACCATTATTCCCACACATTTTGAGTAAAAATTGCACATTTGTCTGTAACTTTGGCCAAGAAGAAGCATGGTGTGAGCAAATCCCGGAATATATTTTAATGGGTAATGTCGAACCAAAGGAAAGAATCGCAGGCCCGCGTAGGCCAGATCGAAAAACAGATTGTGAAGTGATAATGATGTGCGGTTTGCCCGCGGCGGGGAAAACTACATGGGCGAGGAAGCATGCAATTGATCATCCAGACAAATTGTACAATATTTTAGCACTCCATAGCTTGGTTGAGAAAACTGGAGTATGTAGTTAAAAAGCTATAAAATTATGAAGTAATAAAATTGTATATACAATGCTTACTGTTAATACGCAATATTTCCTTTCTAGGATGTTGCTTTATCAGATCAAGAACAAAATGTCTGTCGGCGAGAAATTGTTATTGATAGATGCAATCGTGCACTCGATCAATTAATCGATATAGCAGGTGGCAGAAGGCGTAACTATATATTAGACCAGGTATGTTGGGTGTTTGTGACAAACACACACACACACACACACACACACAACATATATATTAATTAAGTTGTTGGTAAAATTTAAACATTGTTGAAACAATTTTGTATGCAGAAGAGCAACATATATTCTTCTGTACAAAGGCGTAAAATGCGAAATTTTTATGGATATCAGCGCAAAGCAGTTGTTGTTGTGCCAGCGGATGAGGAATATAATCAACGTTTGTCCATGTACAATGCAAATGGAGGGAATGTTTCAGAATCCAATCTCACAGAACTGAAAGGTACTGGCGTATATACATATGAACACATTTAAAGAAATCGATTATCGTAAACAAGTAATCACGCATAATTTGTATAGCAAATTTTACTGCACCTTCGGTGGGAGAATCTTTCGACGCAATAGAATGGATCGGTCTTAGTGAAGAAGAAGCTAAAAAGCTCATCGAGAAGTATAACAAGGAGGGTAAGGAGGCTGGATTTAATCAGCGACCAACGGCAAAACGACCACGTCTCGATAAGACTGAAAGTAACAAAGAAACACGTGATTCACGAAACAATCGGGACACTCGAGATCGAAGAAATAATTGTAAGTGTTTTTATTATTCATGATTATTTATTGTAAAGTACTTGATATTATATTGTGTGTTTATGGACAAGATCAAGACAGAGGTCGCAATTCTTGGCGCGGTGCTAATATGGGAGGTTGGAGAGGAGAGAGACAAAGAGGCGGTTATATGAGACACACTGGTGGTTATGGACCTCCTGTCCCATGGAGATTACGAGGACGAGGCGGACCCGCAATGGTGCGAGGTGCAGACAGAAGAGCCGGTGGCGTCGATAGAAGACCGGGAAATGATAGAAACCGACTTGTACCAAGGCAAAGTGGTTGGGGTCCCATGAGGTAATAATAGCTATATAATTGTTTTTAAAAATCACATTTTTTGATATTTAAATCAATTTAATAAATGATTTTTAAAAATATATTTGTGTTCCTTTTATTTTAGCGGGAATTATCAAGGATCACAACAGTCTGGTTGGGGTCAACAGGACAATTGGTCAGGTAGCCAGGCCCAAGGAAATTGGAACCAACAAAGCTGGGGTCAACAACAGTGGGGAGGTGGTTGGAAAGGATATGGTCAAAGCACATATAGCCAGACAGGATACAATCAACATGGATATGGCAACGGTAATTGGAGTAGCTGGAATCAACAGTATTACAACAACCAGTATTGGGGTCAACAATCACAGAGTGGACAGACAACTGCAGCTGGCGGCCAAGCTGTAAGCAAACAATAATCCACCACCGTAAATCTTACGAGAACGGAAAATGAATGTAAGGTATAGATATATAAAACGTTGTTTTTGTAGACCGAAAGTTACAATTTTTAATTTAATCAACATCTTGTCAGAATCGTCTTGCCAGATTCATATAATTATATACAAATTTTGTATATGTGTACATTTGCAGGAGATTACGAGTGAAATGGTTGCAACTACTTCTACCAATACGGGAGCAGGATATAGTTATTCACAAGGATAACAAACTTATACGCGAGGACGAGCGTACCCGCTCTAAGTACTACACGACAGCAATCACTACACAACAGTCTCATTCACATAAGTAGAAAAAAGAACTCTTGTGTCACTATTATATACATCACGAGATATATATAAATATATCCACAAATGTTTGAGTTTCTTCGCGATATATAAGTCATAATACATAGAATATTATATCGACATTGTCGATAACAGCGGATTGCGCTTTCTTAATTCCGACAAAGATTCGCACATGATTTTTTCATCTCTGTAAGCAAAACATTACCATTACAAGAATTATAAAGTAAGACCCTTATATGTACAATAGACTTATTGCAACAAACACAAGTTGAGAAAAATCAATCTTGAAATATAATCGACTAGTAAATTTCGATTTTTATCGGAAATACAGGTCTAATAATCTAAGTGCATTCAAACGATAATGTAACATTCGCGCGAGAAAGAATATAACTTTTTATCGCATCTTTAAAATCCGTAAGGAGGAAGAGTACTACGTATGGGTACAAGTCACGCAAGTAGTATTAAAAGTTGGAAAGAAAGGATAGCAATCACCTTCAAAAACTCATGTAAATATGTACAGATCTAAAGTAAAGAAATTACACAGAAAAATATCGATCTATTTATACATTGAATAGATTTAGCGGATTCGCTTGGATGCATCAGTGCACGTTAAAGATTGTATGCAAATGACATAACGATGTACTCGATGTACTGTAAGCAATATACGGTAAGTGTTTGATTTTAAATGGTTTCCGAAAAGATCGATATGA